GCTCCACCCTGTTTCCTCCTTTCTCCTTCCTCCTTCCTCCTTCATCCTCCTCCTCGCCCTCTCTCTCTCTCTCGCTCTCGCTCTGGCGCTCTCTCTCTCCCTTTCTCTCTCTTTCCCATCCTCCTCCCTCTTCTCTCCTTTCTCTCTCTCGCTCTCGCTCTCGCTCTGGGCTGTTCTTCTCCCTCTCCCCCCCATCCCCTCATCCTCCTGACCACTATTCCCTCGCTCTTCCCTCCCTCCTGTGGGTTCGGGGGTTAAATGGTTTTCTCATATCTTCCTGAGTCCCATTTTGACCACCCCCAGGCCGACTAAGTTTTTTGTTATATATATATATATATATATTGTTGTTGCTGTTTTTTTTGGGACACCTGTAACAAGGTCCTTTGTTGTTTCCCAATTGTTTTGGATTTCTAGGCCGATGACCCCAAACCCGACTAAGTTTGACAATGAGGGTTTTGTATTCTGTTTTTTTGGACACCTCAAAAGGTTGTCTTGGTTGATTTCCTATTTTATTGGTTTCAATGGTTTGGAGCTCCTGGCTGTCGAACTTGGAGGACGCGGTTGGGAGGAAGGGGAGCGGATGGAGATAGGGAAGAGGAGGAGCAGGAGGAGGAGGAAGATGCGTATGAGGAGGAACCAGGATGATAGGAGAGGTTTGTGCAGAAGGATTCTAATGGAGAGGAGACAAGCTTTCTCATCAAGCTATTCAGGGATGCCAGTCCCTTGTGAGGCGCCTGTCTTTCAAGGGTGTGCGTCTGGCTGCAAAATCAAATGCTTGAGCTGATTCATGAGGAGGGGACATGAGAGCGACGGGAGGGTGCGCGGAGAGAGGAAATCATTTTGATAAGCAGGAGGAGAAGGGGTAGGAGGTGGAGGAGGACCAGCAGGCTGGTATCAACGCATTTCCCATTGAATCCCATCGATTAGCAAATGGAATATGAACGAATTTTGTGTGTATGTGTGTGGGGTGGGCTTAGATCGGCGCATTTCCTGTTGAAACCCGACTTGCAAGCATACACAAGAGTGGCGAATATTGCTGGAGGATGGGGTCGGCGCATGTCCTATTGAATTAATTCCGAGTTTACAGAACAATCATTGAGAAAGGGGCTGGAGATGAAGCAGTTACTAGAATCTCGTTCGCTCATCATTGAGAAACAAGAAGACTGTTTCAGAATTTTTCAGCCGGCTGGCATCAGCGCGTTTCTTTTTGAACCCCTATCGATCATTTAATCGAATACTTAATGCTGCAACGGGAGGTTGACATCGACGCATTTCGGATTGAATTCGGATAGAAAAGCGCAGATACTATGTTAGCCAGCGTGGACACCAAGCAGTAGGTTCTTGCAGACTGGGGGGGAGACACTGTATGCGAAGCGACCTATGTAATGCAATCGATGCGGTGCAATCTATGTGGTGCAATGTATACGATGCAATCTATGTAGTGCAATTTTTGCCATGCAATGCAATATATGCGGTGCAATGTACCCGATGCAACCTATGTAATGTAATGTATGCGGTGCAAGCTATGTAGTGCAACGCATGCGATTTATTCTATATGATGCAGTCTATGCGGTGCAGTATACGTGGGGCGCTGTACGCGATGCAACCTATGTAATGCACTCTATGCGATGCAATCGATGTGGTGCAATGTCTGCGATGCAACCAATGTAATGGAATATCTTCGGTGCAATCTATGTGGTGCAGCCTGCGCGATGCAACCTATGTAATGCAATCTATGTGTGGTGCACTGTAAGCGAAGCGACCTGTATAATTCAATACATGCTGTGCAATATATATAGTGCAATGCGTGCGAAGCAACCTGTGTCATGCAGGCTATACGGTGCAATGTTTGTACTGCTATGTATGCGATGCACCATTTTTAATGTAACTGATGTGTGGTGTAGTGTATGCGTTGCAAATTTCGTAATGCAATACATGCGGTGCAATCTATGTGGTGCAGTGCATGCGATGCAACCTATGTCATACAATCCATGCGGTGCAATATATGCGGTGCAATTCATTTTGGCCGTGTTGAAGCTGTCCTCTCCATTGCTCGTGCAAACATCCCACCCTCCCACCCGCAACTTGGTCGCAAGACTTCTTAAGACAAGACCGTGACGGTAGATGCCACATGGCACTTGGCCACGACACCGACGACGACAGCGACAATGACGACGATGGCGACGGCGCCGCCGACACCGACGACGACGACACCGACGAAGTCTCCAACGACTTCGACGACGACAGCGACCACGACGACGACGACACCGACGACGACGACGACGCCGACGACGACGACGATGACAACGACGCCGACGACGACGCCGACGACGACGACGATGATGACAACGACGACGACGACGACAACGACGTCGCCAACGAAGACGACGACGAGGGAGGAGCGACGACGCGAACGACGAAGAAGGAGGAAGGACGGCGACGCCGACGACGACGACGACGAGGGAGGGAGGGAGACGACGACGACAACGACGACGACGACGACGACGGCGACGAAATAGGAGGGACGACGACGAGACGCCGACGACGGACGACGACGACGACGACGAGGGAGGAGGAGGAAGGACGACCACGGCGACAACGACGACGGAAACGACCACGACGCCAACGAGGACGACGACGACGAACACGAGGAAAGACAGAGGACGACGTTGGCGACTACGACGACAACGCGGGAGGAGGGAGGACGGCGACGACGACGACGACGACGCAAGAGCGCGCGCGCACGCTTTTGTTGAACATCCGTTTTGCGAAACCTTGGGTTTTTGTAAGTTTTTTGGACACGCGATTTTGAAATCCTTCCGAAACCGATGGGTTTTGAAGGATTTCGGCATTCTCGCGCGACGGCGCGCGCGTCTGCACTTCGTCTTATTTTTTGCAAAGGATTCTCGCGACGGCACACGCGCAAGGGCGTTCGACAGATTTCGACATGCGCGCGCGCGAAGCCCGTTTGGTAGCATTTTGTGAACATCTTGAAAAAAAAAAACATGGTTTTCTTAAGATTTCGCAAGAGCTCGCGCGTAAGCTTTTTTAGCAAATCAGTGTTGCGAAACCTTGTGTTTTTGTATGTTTTTTGTGGAAGCTCGATTGCGAATCCTTTCGGCACCGAAGGTTTTTGAAGGATTTCGGCATGCGCGCGCGACGACGCGCGCGTGCGCATTTCGTCCCGTTTTTACCTAACATCGAAGACTGATAGGTTTCTAATGGACTAAAAAGAGAGCAGCACATTACTCCACAGGGGGGTCTGGGCAGCCGTTGGGGGGCCGTTGGGGTTTGCCGGGGGGGATCGTTTTTCGCATACAGTCACACACTTCGTGCTTTTCGACCTCCCAGAACTCCATTCCCGGGCCACATTCTGAATGCCCGGAGCCAACTGTAGGCCACTTCGTGCTCTTCGACTTCCCAGAACTCCATTCCCGGGCCACATTTTGGATGCCCGGAGCCAACTGTAGGCCACTTCGTGCTCTTCGACTTCCCAGAACTCCATTCCCGGGCCACATTTTGGATGCCCGGAGCCAACTGTAGGCCACTTCGTGATCTTCGAGTTCCCAGAATTCCATTCCTGGGCATGATTTTGAATGCCCGGAGCCAACTGTAGGCCACTTCGTGTTCTTCGAGTTCCCAGAATTCCATTCCCGGGCCACATTTTGAATGCTGAGGCAGGCTGATGCTGAGGCTGAGGCAGGCTGAGGCTGAGGCAGGCTGAGGCTGAGGCCGAGGCTGAAGGCAGACTGAGGCTGAGGCTGAAGCAGGCTGAGGCTGAGGCAGGCTGAGGCTGAGGCTGAGGCAGGCTGATGCTGAGGCAGGCTGAGGCTGAGGCTGAGGCTGATGCAGGCTGAGGCTGAGGCAGGCTGAGGCTGAGGCTGAGGCCAAGGCTCAAGGCAGACTGAGGCTTTGGCTGAAGCAGGCTGAGGCTGAGGCTGAGGCTGAGGCTGAGGCAGGCTGAGGCTGAGGCTGAGGCTGAGGCTGATGCTGAGGCAGGCTGAGGCTGAGGCTGAGGCTGATGCAGGCTGAGGCTGAGGCAGGCTGAGGCTGAGGCCGAGGCTGAAGGCAGACTGAGGCTGAGGCTGAAGCAGGCTGAGGCTGAGGCTGAGGCAGGCTGAGGCTGAGGCTGAGGCTGATGCTGAGGCAGGCTGAGGCTGAGGCTGAGGCTGATGCAGGCTGAGGCTGAGGCAGGCTGAGGCTGAGGCCGAGGCTGAAGGCAGACTGAGGCTGAGGCTGAAGCAGGCTGAGGCTGAGGCTGAGGCTGAGGCAGGCTGAGGCTGAGGCTGAGGCAGGCTGATGCTGAGGCAGGCTGAGGCTGAGGCTGAGGCTGATGCAGGCTGAGGCTGAGGCAGGCTGAGGCTGAGGCCGAGGCTGAAGGCAGACTGAGGCTGAGGCTGAAGCAGGCTGAGGCTGAGGCTGAGGCTGAGGCTGAGGCTGAGGCAGGCTGAGGCTGAGGCTGAGGCTGATGCTGAGGCTGAGGCAGGCTGAGGCTGAGGCTGAGGCTGATGCAGGCTGAGGCTGAGGCAGGCTGAGGCTGAGGCCGAGGCTGAAGGCAGACTGAGGCTGAGGCTGAAGCAGGCTGAGGCTGAGGCTGAGGCAGGCTGAGGCTGAGGCTGAGGCTGAGGCTGAGGCTGAGGCTGAGGCTGAGGCTGAGGCTGAGGCGAGGCTGAGGCAGGCTGAGACTGAGGCTGAGGCTGAAGCAGGCTGAGGCTGAGGCTGAGGCTGAGGCTGAGGCTGAGGCAGGTTGATGCTGAGGCAGGCTGAGGCTGAGGCTGAGGCTGAGGCAGGCTGAGGCTGAGGCCGAGGCTGAAGGCAGACTGAGGCTGAGGCTGAAGCAGGCTGAGGCTGAGGCTGAGGCTGAGGCAGGCTGAGCTGAGGCTGAGGCTGAGGCTGAGTGCTGAGGCTGAAGGCAGACTGATTGAGGCTGAAGCAGGCTGAGGCTGAGGCTGAGGCAGGCTGAGGCTGAGGCTGTGACTGCGACTGCCGTTGCCACTGCGACTGTCATCGCGAATGCGACTACGACTGCGAGAACAGCAGAATTCTACAACTGGATTCTCATCCGAATCTTAAGGGGAATGCTTCCAGATATGCTCCTACACATCGATGTTAGGTTGCTTTGCCGGGATAATTTGCAAGGGATTCGCGACAAAGTGTTATGTTAGAACAACAAATGTCACCGCATAGTGCTTTTTACAAGGGAACCTCAGGGGGGGGATACCGGCTGGCCTGGGGCATTGTGATTTCATAGTTAGGATGGACATGTGGTCATAATCATATGTGATTTACATACCCGAAAAGGGGTACCGATAACGCCGGGGGGGGTAGACTCTATTCTGTTTTTAGGAAGGAGAATTCACTTTGCCGAACTTGAAGTTGTCGAGCGCTTTGGGGGGCCTCTTCGGAGCAGTTTGGGGGGCCTTTTGGGAGCCGCTTGGGGGCCTCTTAAGAGGGCTCTTGGGGCCAATTGGGGGCCTGTTGGGGCCTCTTGGGGGCTTCTTCGGGCCTGATGGGACCCCCTCGGGGCCGAGGGCTCGAAATGACCGTTCGTGTTCCCCCATCTGGGCCCCCTCTTGGGGCTGTCTTTGGGCCCTCTTGGGCCATGCTGGGCGCCTCTTGGGCCGTCTTGGGGCCGTTTTGGGTTGGCTTGGGGCTCTTTTGGGGGTCTCTGGGGCCGTCTTGGGGCGATCTTGGGGGCCTCGTGGGCCGTCGTGGAGCGTCGGGAAGCCGAAACGGCAAGAACGCCCAAACTCATTTCACCACCTAGGGCACATCAGCTTCGCCTCTTGGGGCCTTCAGGGGAGGCTTCTTGGGGGCCTCTTTGGGCCTCTTGGAGGCCTGTTGGGCCGTCTCAGGGCCATCTTGGGTGTCTTGGACCGATCGTTCGGCGACTCGGGCCCCCTTGGGCTGTGTTGGGAGCCTCTTGGGGCCCCCTGGGCTCATTTTGGGGCCCTCCTGAGCCCGAAAAGCCACGCGAGAAGATGCGACAAGCCCCCGACGAGACGCGCCAAGCCTTGGTAGATTGGCAATTTCGGGTCTGGTCCGCCTAACGACTCCCCATGGTGAGAATTGAGGCTTAGAGGATTGGGCCCAGGAGTTGAGGACGCGCCCTTTCCGTGCCCAGCGGCACGGTGGCGGATGGGTCATCCGCTCTCATCAAACGTGTCGCAAGCATCACTACACTTTTTTTGTGTACTTGGCGAAGCTGGATCAGTCATACACAGCAGCCTCGTCTGTAGTTGTATCGTTTCATCTCGCCCTTACGTCTGGATGTTCAGCAGCGTAACCAATGCATAGCCAGGTGCCATCCGTTTTCCAGCTGCTTCCGTCGATTCCTCGTCGTCGTCCTCCTCCAGGTGCCACATGCGTAATGCGGTTTTGTTAACGTGTGTCCTATTGCGGCGCTACAGTTCAGAACTTTCTCTTAGCAGTTACTGCAACGGGTATCCGCGCTGTTTTACTTGTTCCCAGCATGGATGTATTTGATGCATTTCTGCTTTGGGTATGCCATGTCAGCCGATCTGCTGCAAACGATGAGCCCTAGCTTTTCTTACCATGCCGCCTGCCCAGGTGAACGCGGACATCGCGAAGGGCCTGGTCGAGGCCATCGGCCACCGTGGGCTTCGGAAGTCTCGGGAGATCCTCCCCAAGAGAATAACGGCTTCCATGGTGTGTGTATGTGTGCGTGTGTGTGTGTGTGTGTATGTGTGTGTGCGTGTGCGTGTGTGTGTGTGTGTGTGCGTGTGCGTGTGTGTGTGTGTGTGTGTGTGTGTGTGTGTGTGCGTGTGAGTGTGTGTGTGTGTGTGTGCGTGTGTGTGTGTGTGTGTGTGTGTGTGTGTGTGTGTGTGTGTGTGTGCGGGCTTCAATATTCTGGGATCGCCCCTCTGCGAACGAGAAATAAGATTGGGGAGGAGAACGAATGGGATGAGTTCGGATGCACCGCGCTGGGCAACCAGCGCCACGTTTACCCCTCCAGGGAGGTTGTGTCGGACCGCGCAGTCTGTGCGCGAACCCTGTTATTACCACGATTCGTACCCTCCCCACTCTACCAGCCCTTCACGGAAGTTCCACCAGCCCCACGCAACGTTTCCCCTTCCAGGGAGGCCGCGTGAAATCGCGCGGGCTATGCGCAAACCTTGTTGATCATCAGGGTTCGTTCCTTTCTTCCTCCGCCAGCCCTACGACCAGCCCCACCATCGCCACTTTTCCCCTCCAGGGAGGCCGCGTGGGACCGCGCGGGCTGTGCGCAAACCTTGCTATTTATAAGGATGATTGCTCTTCCCATTCCACCATGTTCACGACCAGCCCAACCATCGCTACCTTTTCTTCTCCAGGGAGGCTGTGTGGGATCGCGCGAGCTATGCGCAAGCCCTGCTATTCATCAGTGTTCATGCCATTCCCACTCCACCAGCTCCACGACCAGCCCCACCATCGCCGTCTTTTCTTCTCTAGGGAGGCCGCGTGGAACCGCGCGGGCTTTGCGCAACCCATGTTATTTAACAGGCTTCGTGACCTTTCACTGCACCAGCCCCACGACCAGCCCACCAGCGGCACCTTCTCTCCTCCAGGGAGGGTGTGGGACCGTGAAGGCTATGCGCATACAGCGTTATTTACCAGAGTTCGTGCCTTCTCCGTTCCACAAACAGTGGCATGTCCGAGACTTTGTCCCCCCTGGCGACAACGGGCGTGACTGGGGGGGGGGCCGGTCACGTCCACGTCACGATTCGCGCTGGCGCGGTCTGGGAACGCGAGAGAATGGTTAATTCCTAGACGGCACTGGCCCGAATCGTGACGTGACCAGAGGAGGGGAAGTGGGAGCGGGGCTGGTCAAAGGCGTTCTCGCGAATCATAAAGACATGGGCTCTAATTGGTTTCGTGCCCGGCCCACTCCACCAGCCCAACCCGCGCCTGTGTCTCCCTCTGGGCGGCCGCGTCGGGTGGAACCGAACGGGCTATGCGCATACCGTGTTATGTATCAGGGTTCGTACCATTTCCAATCCACCCTCTCACCAGACCGCCAGAGGGAGGAGGAGGAGGAGGAGGAATATCAGTGTAAACTCAAGACCCATCACCGATATAGCAATACACCCTCCCTCCAAGTTGAACTGCGCCTGAACACAATTCCTGGGATTTCACGCCGCGAATCACGGTTAATGTTGCGTCTTGACGATCCTCATTCTCGGGACTTCAACACAACGAAATTGTTTCGCCCTGGATGCGACATCGTGCCAAAACGCCATGTCTGGGATGAGACCATGAGAACACTTGAAACTCGCGTTAACTCTTGAATTGAATGTGCGCGGCGCTAAGACGAGAGCCACATTTTGAAAAGGAACCGCCCTGGATCCGTGAAACTCTTTCAGATTTCTAAGACGCATGTGGGCGGCGCTAAGGCGAGAGCCACATTTTGAAAACGACCCGCCCACCATCTGTGAAACTCTTGCAAATTTCAAGCTTCGGGATCATAAAGTGGTGAGGGGGCTCAGACAAAACGCCCGGCCCGTCCTTTCGACTAGCCTCGGGGTGCGACAGGGAGGATTTATTCCCCAATCAGAGCTTGCCTCTGTAGGGGTCCTAGCGGATTAAAGGCTGAGGTGAGGTTCTCCGCACATTCGGTGGCCGGGCCCGGGTGCCTGGGTGCCCGGGTGCCCGGGTGCCCGGGTTCGCCGCCGATTCGGTGGCCGGGCCCCGGTGCCCGGGTGCCCGGGTGCCCGGGTTCGCCGCCGATTCGGTGGCCGGGCCCGGGTGCCCGGATGCCCGGGTGCCCGGGTGCTTGGGTGACGGGTGCCGGGTGCCCGGGTGCCGGGTGCCAGGTGCCCGGGTGCCCGGTGCCCTGTAGCCCTATAGCCTTATAGCCCAGTATCCCTATCGCCCTATAGCCCTATAGCCCTATAATAGCCTTATAGCCCTATAGCCCTATAGCCTAATAGCCCTATAGCCCTAATTATAGCCCCAAACAAATTCTGATTGGGTTTTTTCTCCGGTATCATTGGTAAGGGAAAGGAATGGTGGAGGAGGAGGAGGACGACGACGAGAACGTTTCATGAGGACAAGTTGGGCGTCCCTGCGAGGAATAACAGAGTTTGGACGGCGCGACGAGGAATCATAATCATATGTGGACTTGGAGAAGAGGATGCCAGGCGTATACATCCTTGTTCCGACCTTGCTGCCTGTGCTGTGCTCCCCTTGACCACACGACCCGCTCGAAACTGTACCGTGGGGAACTCCAACTGTATGATTTTTCCGTGCGCTGCGCTGCTGGCGTGCTGGTGCTGTCGCGCAAGCCCAGCGGCCATGGGCCGCCCCGAGCTTGGGGAGGCCAGAAGGTAGGTACAGGTACTGCTGCTCCACGGACCTCCCGGTCGCCAGCGAGATTCGAGCCTCACCCTCGCCGATCAACGATTCAGGCACCTCGATGGGCGGGGAGGGTAGGATTCGGAATTTGTCGATGGTTCAATCCGAACCCTCCAGGAATGGCGTTCTGGCAGATTTAGGGTGGTCAGAATGCAACAGTCACGCTGATTCGCAGTACTGGAGTCCCAGGAACAGCATCTTGGAACGGCTTTTGGGATTGCCAGGACGCAGCAACAGTCTGGTTTACTCGCGACGCTGAAGTCCCAGGAGCTGTGTTTTGTCACGACTGGGCATTCTTAGACGTTTGTCTTCCAATGGGGCATTCCCCGTAACGTAATAAATTTCTTATGGGACTATGAAGAGGGAACTTGGAGGGAGGTTTATTGCAACATCGTTGATGTATCCGGGGTTTGCACTGATCCTCCTCCTCCCTCCTCCAGACTCCTCCTCCTTTCTCCTTCTCCAGACCCCTCCTCTTCCTCCAGACTCCTCCCTCCACAATTACTCAATATGAAAATACTCTCCCTCTTCCCCTGATGGCGTCCGGGTGATGGCCGCGCACCCTCCGCGTACTGTTTTTTTACACACAGGATGCCCGGGAAATCCCGGGAAACGACTCTCGCTGAGGCGCCGGCGTCATTTTTTCCCAAAATGCTGCTCTCGTTGAGGCGCCGGCCTCATTTCTGCTCCCGACTCGTTCCGAATCGTGCTCCCGCTGCAGCGTGGGCCTCATTTTCGGATCGGTGTTTGGCCTCCGTCGTTCAAGATGGCGTTCTCGCCCCAGCGCGGGCCTTTTTCTCGCGCGCCCATCCGCCCGCCACCACCGCGCCGCACCGCCACCACCACCACCACCACCACCACCACCACCACCAACCACCACCAGCACCAGCACCAGTACCACACCACCACCACCAGCACCACAACCACCACCAGCAACCACCACCAGCACCACCACCACCACCATCACCACCACCACCACCACCACCACCACCACCACCACCACCACCACCACCACGACAACCACGCACACACGCACGCACGCACGCACGCACGTGCACCACCACCCACTACGCACGCGCGCGCGGAGCCACAGGTCCGCTACGACACGCGTCCGCGGATAGAGACAATCAGCGCCATGGTAAGGGATGGGAGGGAGGGGTAGGACGTCAGATATGACGCGAGCGCACCTAGCTTGTCCTCCCCCTTCTCCCCCTCCTCCTCCTCCTCCTCCTCCTCCTCCTCCTCCTCCATCCTTTTTCCTGATAGCTAGCTCCTCCCTGTCGCACCCCCTAGACGGGTCGGTAGGGCGGGCCGGGCGTTTCGCCTGAGACTTCTCGCCACTTCTGACTCGGAAGCTTGAACACTGCCACAGCTTCACGGATGGAGGGCGGTTTGTTTTCGAAATGTGACTCCCGCATCAGCGCCGCTCACATTCGTCTTCAAAGTTCGCAGCAGTTTCACGGATGGAGGGCGTTTTTTTCTCAAATTGGGGTTTTCGTCTTAGCGCCGTGCGCATTCGTCTTAAGAGCTCGCATTGATTTCGCGGATGAAGGGCGGGTCGTCTTCAACATGTGGCTCTCGCCTTAGCCCTGCGCACATTTGTCCCAAGCGTTTGCAATCGTTTCACGGATTCGTATGGTCGAAGTCCCAGGTATAGTGTTCTAGCACGATTTCGGATTGTCAGGACGAAACATTTACACTGATTCGCGGTGTTGAAGTCCCAGGAACAGCGATCTGGCACGATCTAGACTTGTCAGGACGCAACAGTCATATGGACCCGCGGCGCTGAAGTCCCAGGAACGGTGTTTTGTCACGACTGGGCATTCTCAGATTCCCATCTTCCCATGGGGCATTTACCGCAATGAGGATCAGTTCTTTTCGAGACCTAGAAAGAGGGAGCTCGCAGGGAGGGTGCATTGAACATCGTTAGTGCATCTTGGGGTTGCGCTTGTCCTCCTCCTCCTCCTCCTCCTCCTCCTCCTCCTCCTCCTCCTCCAGGCTCCTCCTCCTCCTCTTCCTGTCTCCGCTCCGCAGCAGCCGGTGGGATCCCCCCTCCGACTTTCGCAGGCAGGGCGCTGCTCGGCACGGGGGGGAGGGGGAGCGGCCGGCGCGGGAGGCCTGCGCCAAGTACTGCCCGGAGGCCATCCTGGCGATGATCGTCAACCCCGTCAACTCTATCGTGCCCGCCATGGCGGAGCCTTCCCGCAGCGGCGCTCGGCATGGCCTCTGGGCGGCGGGGGGCGGCAGGCCAGCAGAGCAGCCTTGGGCTTTGATGGTGGCGATGATGGTAGTGATGATGAATGGTGGTGATGCTGACGCTGACGATGATGGTGACGGTGATGGTGGTGATGACTGTGATGCTGGTGATAGTGTTGATGGCGATGATGATGATGGCGATGATGGCACTGACGTTCGTGATGGTGATGATGGTGATGACGATGGTAGTGGTAGTGACGACGATGCTTATGATGATGGTAGTGGTGGTGATGATGCTGATGATGATGGAGATGCAGATGATGATTATGATGATGCTGATGATGACGATGATGATGCTGATGCCGATGATGCTGATGATGCCGATGATGACGATGACGATGCTCCTGATGATGATGATGATGATGATGGTGGTGGTGGTGATGACGTTGATGATGATGCTGTTGCTGCTGCTGATGATGATGATGCTGATGATGATAGAGATGATGCTGATGTCGATGATGATGACGACGAAGATGCTGATCATGATGATGACGATGCTGCTGACGATGGTGGTGCTTATGACGATGATGATGTGGATGACGATGATGATGATGATGATGATGATGATGATGATGATGATGATGATGATGATGCTGATGCTGATGATGATGATGATGATGATGATGGTGATGATGCTGATCATGATGATGTTGCTGATGATGCTGGTGCTGATGCTAATATGATGCTGATGATGATGATGATGATGATGATGATGATGACGACGATGATGATGATGATGATGATGATGATGATGATGATGATGATGATGATGATGATGATGATGATGATGATGATTCTGATGATGATGATGATGATGATGATGATGATGATGATGATGATGATGATGATGATGATGATAATGATAATGATGATGATGATGATGCTGCTGCTGACGATGGTGATGATGATGATGGTGATGATGGTGATGGTGAGGAGGATGATGGTGCTGCTGATGATGCTGCCGATAATGGTGCCGATGACGTTGATGATGCTGATGATGCCTATGCTGTTGACGATCATGAATCATACTGTGATGACGAGGGGAGAAGGAGGAGGAGGAGGAGGAAGAGGAGGAGGAGGAGGACGAGGAGGATGAGGATTTCCAGGAGGAGGAGGAAGAGAAGGAGGAGGAGGATGAGCAGGCGGAGGGAGGGGTTTGGAGAAGGAGGAGGAGAAGGAGGAGGAGGAGGAGGAGGAGGAGGAGGAGGAGGAGGAGGAGGAGGAGAGGAGGGGGAGGAGTTCAAGAGGAGGATCCAATCATGAACCCCTCCGACACCGAATAATTGCAGCGTAATGTCAAGATTGCACGTCTGGTGCTGCTGGCGGGAGCGGAGCTCGTGCCGTTGTGGCCGACATGACGTTCTGTGGTCTGGCCCGCTTCTCGCCGAGCCTGGATCCTGATGCTGCCACTTAAAGGGTCTGCAGCGACGGGACCCAGCTGGGCTCTTGGTGGCGTTGCAGGGTTTGTCTCAGGGGCTCTCGGGCGAAGTCCAAGCCGATTGGTGGACCATGCTCGGGGACGTCCCGTCTGGACCAGGGAGTGCTCGAGGCCCCGGGTCAGAGTCATTTGTTTTCTTTGCTCTGACAAGTCCCACCTGCTTCTTTGCATGTCTTGTACGTTTTACAGCTTTGGAGGTCAAGTCAAAGGCCTGGGTAGTACATGCCGCCCAGCCACGGTGACGGGCAGGAGCAACTTGAGCCGTCTACGTAAGGGCCAACATCCTGATTAGGTTGGGGTGGCAGTTGACGACGTTTGCTGACATTCCAGTTGATCCTGTATGTTTCGTTGCAGTCCGCCTCTGCGGCAGTTTGGGCATTTCTGTCAGGGGCATAAGGCGTTGCTGCCTAACGAGGGAGAGGAGGAGAAGGAGCCTCCTCGTCTTCCTCCTGTGCTGACCCACCCCCCTCCCTGCCGGGCGGGACACAAGCGCCCTGGTCCGAAGGCGCACGCGCGCGCAAGCCGCGCCCGCAGGAGCTCTACAAGAAGAAGGGCCTGGACCCCATGAAGATCATCGGCGTCACGACGCTGGACGTTGTGCGCGCCAACAAGTTCGTGGCCGAGGAGCCCCGCCACCCCCGTGGTAAGGCTTCGGGTTGCGCACAGACAGCCCCACTCAGGTAGTCCCAGCTGGCCTCAACAGGCCCCCAGGGGCGCCGCCAGAGGCGGCGTTGAGACCGTCCTGGCCTACTCGAGTGGCCTGTTGAGGCAGCGCCGCGGGAAAGACAGGATCGTGGGAGGGGATGAGGGGGTATTCCAGGGGCACCGATCGGAGGGGGATTGGCTCAGAAGGGAATGCGTCGATCCCCCATCGCCCACTCATTGCCGATCTGGGCCCGATAGCCCCACCCTGCCCAGGCACGTGCGGATTCGCTATCGGGGGCCTGTCGCCGACCTATCGGCAATGTATCGCTGACCTCAGCTTGATGTTCGCCCCCCTGAGCTGGTCCCCGTATCGTTGCCCTTCAGTAGCCGAAGAATTCTTGGGTCGGCGCCAGGGGGAGGGAGAGGGGGGATGATGGGGGAGAATAGGAGGAGGAGGAGGAGGAGGAGGAGGAGGAGGAGGAGGAGGAGGAGGAGGAGGAGGAGAGAGGAGGAGGAGGAGGAGGAGGAGGGAGGAGGAGGAGGAGGAGAGGAGGGAGGAGGAAGAGGAGAGAGGGAGTGTGGAAGAGAGGGAGAGTTGGAGGGAAGGAGGAGGAGGCGTAGGGGGAGGAGGAGGAGGAGGAAGAGTAGGAGGAGGGGAGGAGGAGGAGGAGGGAGGAAGGAGCAGGAGGAGCAGGACCGGGGTAAAGGGAAGCAGGATGTTAGGGAGGGAGCGGGAGGTTGCCAGGAGGAGGAGAGGATGAGGGGAGAAGGAGGAAAGGGGAGGAAAGGATGAAGGGAAGGAGGAGGATGACGAGGAGGAGGAGGAGGAGGGGGATGCATGGGAGGAGGAAGCGTTTGGAGGGAGGAGGAACAGGTGGCGTTGTTGGAGAAAACGGAATATCGTGAGGAGGAGAGGTCTAGGAGGTGGAGGAGGATGAGGAGCAGGAGGAGGGGGAGGAAGAGGTCACGAGAGTAGGATACTGATGAGCAGGAGGGAGGACGAGGAGACGGAGCCGAGGAGGAGGAGGAGGATGGTGATGATGATGAGGAGGAGGAGGTAGACCAAGTGTGAATGATAACGATCCTGCGATACACCTTCCTCTCCCAAGCCCCTGCGTACGAATCCTTCCCTACAGACATTCCTTGCCACTGTGGGGAGCTCCCCTCGAGAAAGACGAGCGCCACATGGGCCTGCCATTCGCGCGAGAGCACTTTTCAGGAGAGGAACTGGGAACTGCCCCCGACGAGCGCGATTGGACCAAAGATTGGATGCAGCGTCCGGCGGGAGCCCCGTTTTGAAACGGGGC